TCTCCATCTATGTTACCACCTTCCCAAATAAGGAAAACAAAGTTTGTGCTAAAAACAAACCAAAAGGATGCAAAACGAAAGTCCGGGAGCAAAGCGCGCAGCCGGGGAACCTGAAAACTACTGACAAGCCACCAAAAGTGGTTTACGACACAAAAGTGGTCTCCAGGCACAGTGTCCCTCTACGGCAGAGGCAACAAGGTGTGGTTCAAAAACCATGCCAAACGAGAACGTCAAGTGGTCCCGAGTCATGGCGCGAAACGGCCGAAGACTCCAAAAATCGGAAACTAGTCTCAAAGGCGGGAAATAGTGCGTCTACGACCACAAGAGGGGTTTACAAAGACCCTTCCTCCCTTTAGGAGAGATACAAGGTTCGTCCGCAAACCGAGCCAAAGTACAAAGAGTTCAGAGGCCCGGAGGCAAGACTTTCAGCCGAAACTCGGGAACTCGAAACAAGCACAACATGCGCAATCACCAAGCGCTCAATCGATGACGTCTGAGTTTTAAGGTCGGTCAAAAATGGGTGTTACAGTCACCACGTTTCCTGTTGACCGGAGGCCTTGTAAAAGAGAAGAATTCCTCACGGTCATTAGCCGCCCCCCAGCACCTGTGGCCATCGGACCGCGCAGGCATTAGTATCTTCCATGCGTTAGGCATCAGCTGCCCTGCGCCACCTCAGTCGATTCAGTACGCCAACACTACTTAGGGAGAGCCTTAGCCCTCCGCAGTGCTCTTCATAAAGCGTGAATTCCATCGGTCGTGCGTCCGACGCCCTCTCCTTAGACGCGGGCAACCTCAGGTCTATCTCTGCCGAAATTTGGTACTTTCTTCGTATCTCCTCCAACTCTTCTGCCATGAACGTAGACTTGTATGCCTGGTGTGCAGTGTCTGGTTCCACTTGGCTAATCGGCCCCTAGCAGTTTCGATCATCGTCGCTAGGCGAGCCCCCATTTCCTCCCTCCTCTCTACTCTGTATTGTTCAGCCAACCCCTACTGCATCGTCCTCTCCCAATGATCTAGCCTCGTGGCTGGCACGTTATCTCGATCATCCCTTACATGCCTACGTATCGCTTCGGATGCTGCACGAGTAGTTCGCAAAATGTCTCAGCGCGTGTCATGCGAAACAAACGAGTGAGCTCTGGATGTGTTGGTTTTTTGCGACAAGGTAAGTAAAACGAATAACTCCAATGCCACGGTTTGCCTATATTCCAAGGATCACAGTTTGAAAATTTTCGAAAAACTTCCGTCCCGCCTTTTCGACACCCTATATTAGCCTACCCCTTCGCTTCCCGCTACGCATCACCTTCCTCATTACAGGATTACCACGTGTACGACCACGATCCACTACTCTTTTTCCCCTTCCCTATCTATTCCACTTCAGCATCACACGTGCCTCCGCCGCTCCTCAAGCTCTGCGTACCCCTATTTTCTCCCTCGGTCTCCTTTGCAGGTCGGCCCTCCTCCCTAGTCGACTTCTCCGCTCGGCCACCCTTTCAGTCGCCCTCCTTTAGTCGGTCTTCTCGCTCGATCACGCTTTGCGGTTGCCTCCTCCCAGTTGTCTTCCGCTCGGCCACCGGTTGTGGTCGGCCCTCCTCCCAGTCGGTCTCTTGCTTGATCACCCTTTCGGTCGACCTTCTATCCGCAGTCTTCATTCGGCTCGTTCCACCCTTTTGCAGTCAGCCTTCCTCCCTAGTCGTCTATCGCGCTGGGCCACCCTTGCAGTCGCCCTCCTGCTCGAGCCTCTTCTCGTCGCGTCACCCTTTTGCGGTCGGCCTCCTCCCAGTCGGTTTTTCTCGCTGGTCACCCTTTTGAGATCGGCCCTTCCTTTACAGTCAGTCTTCTCGCTCGATAACCTGCTTTATTGCGGTCGGCCCTCCTCCCAGTTGGTTTTCTCGCTCGGCACCCTTTGCGGTCGGCCCCTCCTCTATGTCGGCTTCTCTCACTCGGCCACCACACCCATCTCTCTCTTCATTCTTCTTTTTTTTTTCCTTTTTTTTTTTTTTTTTTTTTTTTTTTTTTTTTGAACAGAAGTCCAATGTAGCTTAGCCACACAATTTCACAAAAATGCCTACGCTGAGGTCACAAGTGCAATTGCTGACGTCACAACTGACTGTCTGACCTGGAATGCCTGGATTCATTTGACCCATGTGTGCATTTTATCCCATTGGTGTGGTCAAGAAAAAAAAGAATACAAATACAATAATTTTAATGTAAGATAATGCCAAGAAAAAGACACTCTAATTTTTTTTTGTCCATTATTTAATTTTACCCTTTTGCCCTCATTTTTTTTTTCACACACTCCTTCCATTTTTGGTGGTTGGATGTTTTACGAACAGAAGAACATATGTGTATACATACTAGTAATGTGTAAAGCAGACACATCTGTTAATAAAGATGTAAAAACATAGTAATTATTATAAACTATTTTAATTATTTCAAATAACTATCATAATTATCAAATCTAATTATAAATATGTACATGTAGGGCATGTTTGATTGGGTGGATTAGAGTATGGGATTGAGATTATTAATCCGTGGGCCCAATTATCCTATATTTGTTTTAACATTTTGGTTTAGGATTATTAATCCAATAGATAATTAATCCAACAAATTTATAGGATTATTAGTAATGGGGTAAGGGTGGGATTATTAATCCATTAGATATTAATCCAATTGGATAGTGAATACCACACTAATTTAATAAGATTATTAATACTTCACTATTAGTTTTGTGAATCAAACATGGCCGTAGGGCATGTTTGATTGGAAGGATTAAAGCATGGGATTAGGATTATTAATCCGTGGGCCCAATCATCCTATGTTTGTTTTGACATTTTGATTTAGGACTATTAATCCAATGGATAATTAATCCAACAAATTTGTAGGATTATTAGTAATGGGGTAAGGGTGGGATAGTTAATACCACACTAATTTAATAGAATTATTAATACCTCACTATTAGTATTGTGAATCAAACATGACCGTAGTGTATGCCCATCTCTGATAATTTGTATATAAAATGGCATAGTTGCCTTAAGATTCATCATTTTAAAACAAAGAGAAATGCTAACAATTGTTCCTTAAGCATTATTTAATATTGAGAGTTGTATAAAATGTTTTTGAAAATGTGAAAGTTTAAAAAAAAAAAAATTATGAAATTAGTGAAAATTATCTTTGGGTTCTACACACTTTTTTTTTTTTTAATGATTAGTAATATTATACAAATAGAAATCTTATATAAAATTAATATAAAATTATATGACAAGTTTTGATTTTATCAATTTAAAGTTAAATACTCATCAATATAAATTTTTTTTTTTTGATCGGGAAGAAAAACTTCATTATAAAACTGATAAAAGATCGGATTAATCCAGTGCAACGGTATCAAAAAGAGATAAATAACCTCCATAAAATAAAGAATCCAAACCTCCATAAAGGAAGAGAAAAGGCATCCACAAGAGAGGGAAACAAATCTTCACACATGAATGATTATTACATCAACAAACAAAAAATTAAGAAAATCAAGGCAAAAAAAAAAAAAAAAACTAGATCCAAGTCGCCACTAAACTCATCCAAAACTCTACTGCTCCACAATTTTCAACTTGAAATATAAAAATCCCATCTCTACTAACCAAGATAGCACACTAAAGTTGAAGTGGCTACCTATCATGAAACAAACGCGTTATCTAGCGTTGGCTTTGGATTGTGAGAAGATCTAAAATTATATCTTAAAATTTTGAGCTCGAGAATAGAGAGGGTAAGGCGGTGATAGCTGGAATGGTGAGGCAGACATCATATCTGAGTTAAGGACCAAATTTGGAGGAAACTCAAAAAGAGGGAGAGGAGAGGGAAATCGGAGATGTGGGAAACGACTGCCGTCTCCCTCTCCCTTTGTAGAAATTCTAAAGAGAAAAGCAAGATAAATTTTTAAAGTTTTCGGTTGTAGAGAAAACATCAAGATAATTTATAATATTATTATCACATCATTTTTATCATAAGTTTTTAAGTATATTATTTCTTAAATAATACTTAATCATAAAAATATTACTACCATACCATTCTAATAAAATATTTTGTAAGAATAAAGTTCTCTGTTTTTACGTCTTCCTTTACGTCCTCTTCTTATTGGTATTTAAGGAGGCAAGTCCTAAAAAATGTTCACACAAGTCTAGACTACAAAGAAACAGAGGACTCGTGCTATATCATTGACAATAACATCCAAACCAAGCAAAGCAGAGGAGTTATTATATACTCCTCAAATCACATTACAAAAAAACAAAAAGAAAAAGAAATTTCAACCCAAAACTCCCTTCCAAATTCAATGGATTCCTCTGTATTCCACTCTCAAAATTCCAATTTCCAGTCCCCAAACTCCGATTTCTCACCGGATTCCTCGTTTGGATCACCGGAATCTTTTTGGTGGAATGGGCTAAACTTGAATTGTCACCTTCCTTTCAATGAAAATGACTCCGAGGAGATGCTTCTCTACGATGTCCTATCAGAAGCTGCCCAAGAAACATCAGAAACCGTGTCCTCGGATCCAATCAAAGAAGGCGAAGTAAGTTCAAAACCCGAGGAAAAGCCCAAAATGGAAAAGTCCTTTAGAGGGGTGAGAAGTCGACCGTGGGGGAAATTTGCTGCCGAAATAAGGGATTCCACAAGGAATGGCATGCGGGTGTGGTTGGGCACATTCGATAGCGCAGAAGCCGCTGCTTTGGCTTATGATCAAGCAGCTTTTGCAATGCGTGGCTCTTCAGCTATTCTCAATTTTTCTATTGAAAAGGTACGCCAATCACTTATTGAAATGAAGTATAGATCTGAGGAGGGTTGTTCACCTGTGGCGACTTTAAAGAGAAGGCATTCCATGAGAAGGAGAAGCAAAGGGAGAGAGACCAAGAGAGGGAATATGGTGGAGTTGGAAGATTTAGGTGCTGAGTATTTGGAACAACTTTTGAATTCAAGTCAGAGTACTAGTCCTTGCTGAATCAAGATTACTCTTCTTCTTCTCCTTCTTCTTTTATAATTATTTTATGCTTTGTTGTCCTTGGTTTGATTTGATTTGATCCTTATAACTAGTTAAAAAACCCAATTTTAATTTATTTTGTGTATTAAATTTTCTTTTTGTCTTGGCAATTGCTTATCTAGTTTTTGAGATGGCTGGGGATATATAATGGTGGGAGTTAATTTTGTTCCTGTTTTGTATTTAGTTTTTTAAAATAAAAATAATGAAAAGTTTGCAAACAATTATTATTTTCATAATTTTGGTATTTCTTAGAAAGTTTTTGTGTTTTAATTCATGAAACTTGTTTAAAAAACAATTCACCAACCATGATATGGAATGTATGCTAGTTGGGATTCTCATGATATGGAATGTAAAATAACTTCGGATTATGATGTCTTAATTCATGATCAATATTAATGGGTTGTTTGGGATGTCCTAAATAAGTGTACTTTTTGTCTTTTTACGAAAAGATGTGCAGAAAAGTAGAGAGATGATATGATGAAAAAAAAAAATAAAAAGATAGATTATTTTGTTAATGTCAAACTTGGCCTAAGAATGCAGAATGGTTCATATGATTAAATTCAGTTATGATATGATTTATATTTAAAATAAATCACAACTTGTTAATACATTTTATGTAATCTATTATGTACTTTTAGCATCAACGTTAGTTCATTGGTGCAAATAACCAAATAATTGAAATAAAAAAAGGCACCTCTTCTTGTGATTTTGAGATCGGATGCTCTGTTTAGATTGTTTGTTTTCTTCAGTTTCAACTCTCTTTCTATTTACATGTAAATAAAAAATAAAAAAAAGCTTTTTTTTTAGATGATGGAAAACCAAAAAACTTATAATATGCTAAAAAGGGAGTGTAAAATAAACAGGGTAGAATTTGGAACAAAATATCTGTGTATACAATAAGATATTTGTGGAAAAATCTATTTCCTCTTAGTATACATTATCACCTTAATTTTTTTAATTTCAATTTTCTCCCTCATGCAAATTATATTTTTGCCCCTTAGCCAAATCACTCCATTTTTCAATACACACCAACCACCCTCTATCACCAACTACCCCACCATGACCACCAGCCTTCGCCGACTATCTCTATCCACCACCAACACCACCACTATGGCTCCCAGCCACTGTCACAACCTTCTCAATTTTGTTGCCCTACTACCTATCACTCTCGCGATCACTACCATCACAACTCCCACCTCTTTGACCAACCACCCTTGCAGTCTCTCTACTCCTACGACCACTACCGTGCATAAAGAGAGAGAAAGAGAGCGAGATCTAGGGTTTTTTTCTTTTCTTTTTCTTTTGAGATTTAGGGTTTGAACAACCCCTCCTCCCCCCAAAAAAAAAAGGCAAAGGAATTTAGAGTAAGGTGTAAAAGACTGCAGAGGCTGTTGGGTAGAGAAGTGAGGGGATAACAATGGATGCAAAGGGTGCGAGAGGGGGGGTAGAAGAAGGTTGACGGGGTTGGGAGAAAGACGACAAAGCTCGAGATGTGGTGGTAGTAGTGGTGGCGGTGGTGATAACGACTACTAGATAAGGGTTAGGGTTGCAATTTGGAAAAGATGAGGATATTTTAGATTTATTTATGAATGGATGGTCTGAATTGAGGAAAATAAAAATAAAAATAAAATAAAATTAGATATGGTGTGAATTTAGATCTGGCGTGGGAGATTGAAGGTGTGCAAATAACATTACTCAAAATATTCGCGTATATAGAACTAGATGGTTCGCTCAAGTCCTTTTTTAAATATATTTTTAAGTTTAAGATAGTTTACATTTGCAAAATTCAATTACGTACAAGTATATATTTCAGTACTAGCGGTAACCCGTGCGATGCACGGAAAAATAAACTATATATATTTTATATGATAAATAAATCATCTTAATCTTAAATTATGTCTATGCATAAAAAATTATTAATTATAAAAATTGTTAAGAATAATAGTATCACAATCACTTGATAACATAAATAACTTGTATCAAACTCAGAAAAATTCTATAAACTTAGAAAAATTATCATAAATTTACTTAGACTTTTAAATCAGTGGTGTATATTATTATTATGGGATCAAATTATGAATAAATATAAACTTTTAATTATAATTTATAAGTAGTTTTTAAATTTTTTTAATCTAAGTTTATTGCCTTGCTCATAAAAAGAACTTCTCAAACAAATCATTAATTGATTATGTTAGCAAATCTTTATCTTTGATAACCTCTGTCAATGGCACATGCATATCATATCAAAGTATAAATCTTTCTCCATACTTTGAATAATACTTGCATAATTTCTACATCATTTAAAAAGAATTAATCAAGATAAAAATTTCGTAAGATTATAAAAATTATATAAGAAAATAGTTTTAATTTATTTTATTTATAAAAAAATAATGAAAAATTATTTGAATTGTACTTGAAGAAATATAACAGATGATAGCTTTAATCAGTATATACCAACAAAAAAAAAATTATATAGGTTACTCAACAAAAAAATGGTCGAATACAAATAAAGTCATGGACATTGAATTAAATCATATGAGCTCTAAATTGATAGTATAATATAGCAAATCAACTAATAATAACATAGAGATATTGACAAATATGTAGTACTTTTCTATTATCTTTGTATTATATTCATTAATTTCATATGTCATATAAAATTTTTATTCGTTTCGATCCTTTAATAAAATAAAGACCAAGAAAATAAATTTGATAAGAAATTGATTGTAAACTTTATTATTGAAAATACAAAAATTTCAAAAAGAGAATTTAGAGATGGGATTGAAGAAATACTATAACGAATGACAACCTTATAAAAAAAATAATAATAACAATGATCTAATGCAAACTATTTTTAATAAATAATAGAAAGAATATCAAATTATTACCCTGTACAAATATAGTGACGAAATTAATTTTGTGAGATTTTTGTGCTATCTTCTCCCTTGCAGCATTCATTATTTCATTGTTAATACTTTTTTCATTCAGAGCCAATAATTTTTTTTTTTAATCTTTATCACTTGGTAGATAATAATGACTAATAAAAATTATCAAGAGCAAGTTAAGAATTTAATAGGAGATAAGAAATTATAGATAAGGCATTTCATAATATAAAAAATTTAAAATAAAAAAAGATAATATGTGATAGAATGAGGAAAAAATATGAGTAAATCAAAATAAAGATTTAGATATATATGTTTTTGATAGATATATAGATTAACAAATCATATCTGTATCTAAATTTTATTATTTTTTTTTTAAATCAATTATTTAATCTTTATAAATTATTTATCAAATTTTATATGTTTATTTATCTATAAGTCATGAAATTAATTTTTTAAAATTTTCATCTTAATCTATAGGTCATGAAACAAATTTTCATATATTATTTATCAATTTTTATATGTTTATCTATAATGAAATTAATTAAAGTACAAAATAAAGGGGAAAAATGAGTAATTTTGTTTTTTTTTTAAATCAATTATTTAATGTTTATCTTTATTTGTAGGCCATGAAATTAATTTTTATAAGTTATTTATCAACTTTTATATGTTTATTTATGGGAAGAAATTTTAAATTATCTATAAGTTATGAAATTAATTGTTTAATTTTTATCTTTATCTGTAGACTATAAAGTTAATTTTCAATTTTATATGTTTATCTATATGAAGGAATTTTGAAATTCAAATCTTTATCTATAAGTAATGAAATTAATTTTAATTTTAATTTTAATTAATCAAACAAATAGAAAATGAAGAAAAATAGAAAACATGAAAGACAATCAAAAAAGGTTGTCACGTAAGAAAGTGAGAGTTTTAAAATTATAAGAATTTAGGAATAAATATTTAGAAATTTTTAACAAAACAACTACATTTAATTATATATAGTATAAAAGATAATGAGTCCTTTGAGGATTCTAACGTATGAAGATATTTCTAGTAAATCTTATTGTACTGACATTTAAGCTCTTAATACTTCTTATTATTTAATTTTATATATGTTGACTTTCATTTTAAATAGAATTTTTATGGAGAATTATATAACATGTCATAGTCATTTTCATTTCAAATTAAAATACTCAGTATTTTCATTCGTAATTTCAGAAAATCTACTTTGACATTATTATTACTATTATTTTTTTAAAATTTGAATTAAAATTCTGTTTCTAATTTTTTTTTTTTATATAAAAAATTTCGATCTCAAAATGCACAAATCCTGAGCCCAGAGTTGTGTGGACTGTTGTGGATGACCAACTCATTTTGGATTGGACTTCTCTTGGATTCCATAATTCTAGAAAGTTCAGACCCTGGTCCATCCTACGCTAAAAGTCTAAAACCATAAGCACAATGGACAAGTTGCAATACTCAACACAATTTGTCTTCAAATAGTTCCAACATTGGCAATCAATTCAAGATTGTTTTTTTAAAATTTATATTTGCATTTCAATTTCTTTTCTGGACATGAATTTGATTCTATTTCTTATTTTATTTTATTTGTGTTGGTAGTTGATTGAGATTAACCAGATAATCCTATTGGTTGGAGTTATTATAAAATAAGTCATGAGTTAAGTTAATAGATATGTAATCCTGAAAATCATGTTTTCTGTTGTTAAGAATCATTGGAGAAATGATGAATTTATTATGAAAATTAGTGTTAGTTAAGAATCATGGACTAACGGATTAAATTGTGTGGGTAAATAAAAAAAGAGCCTATTAATTTGATGCGGCCCATGAGTTCACTTCTTTTTTTTTTTTTTTTCAAATTAATTATTATTTTTTTTCTATCTGGGCTAACATCAAGAACAAATTGAGCCCAGTCCAGTAAATTTGATTAATCTGTTTCCACACAAAGAACAAAGAGGAACTGACCCAAAGGTCCAAGTCCAACATATCATACCCCATTTAGGCCCAAAACAAATTTAATACTCCTTAAGTCCTCAAATTATCAATAAGACGAAAATACCCACAATATATCATCCAATTTACACACGCGCAACCATCACCCACGATCATCTCAGTCTGATCAGTACACTGTCACATCTCCGCCGCTCGAAATCAAATTCTCAGTCCTCCAGCTCTCCTCCGTTCGACTCTATTCCCTCTGAAACCCT